AAGGGGAAGGGGAAGGGGTATAAAATAGAATTGGGATTAGGCCTAAGTATACATGTTTAGTATACTAAAATTACCAATTGCAGGGTGTTTTTATTAAGTACATAAATATGTAAATGTATTTGTAGTATACTTAGCATGAAATAAATGTATTTCAGATACATTTTAGTATATTTTTTTTCACTAGGGGAGTTTCCTCTTATCTCTCTTTGAAAAGCCAAACACAAAGTTTCTGGTTCTGTGCTTGTGGACAGACATGCTGATGAAGGCTGTGTAATATGATATTGCTATGACAACAGAGAAACCTAAATCTAATCTGCAAGGCCAGATGTCTGACAAATGAAATAAAGATCTGCAGATCGACGGACCAGCGTTTGATAGGCAAACCCATATGCTGAACAAATACACATGCTTGCAGAGCTGATCAATCGTGCCAGTTCATGCCAAGTTCAAGTTTTACAAAACAACCGGCCCAACCCACACCAAAGTAACACCTTGATCTATCGTTAATGTTTCAGAGACACACAATGTAAGATTCCTGGTGAAGCAACATATCCAGACAGGGCAGATTATTTGCTATATTTGATATAGTTAATTATATTTCCAAATGTAGAAGCCCTTGAGGCCTGCAGATAGATAATTAGACAAGTAGAGCCAGGCAGAGATAGTCTGATGCATATTACACACCAAAACTGGGCTCAACCCACCGATTCCAGTCTGTCGGAAGATACAAAGGTTTCTATATCTGTGAAACATTCAGCACTATTTATTAGGTTTAAGTGGATAGAAAATCTGATTACAAAGTCTAAACAAATTTATTACATTTTTTGATAACACATTAGTATAGGGACCAATTCTCACTATTAACTAGTTGCTTATTAGCATGCATATTACTAGACTAATGGCTGTTTATTAGTACTTATAAACCTTATTCTGCATGACCATATTCTAGATCCCTTAATCCAACCCACTATTATCCTACTAACTATTAATAAGCATAGTTAAAAGGTCATAGTTAATAGCAAAAGTCAGAGTTAATAGTGAGAATTGGTCCCCAAACTAAAGTGTGACCCCTTTTTTATTGTTGTCTGTACAATCGTTTGGATAGAATAAACTCAATAGTCTATCATCTGAGTATCACTGATTTTGGATTTATTTTCTCCTAAACATAACATAAAAACATGGTCGGTTATTTGACATGACAATCAGATGCTCTTTTCCTGTCCAAGTGGGTGTTTCTTGATCAGAATACGTTGCAATGTGGACCAGACTTTATACTGACAATCAAAATAGTCACAATTTGTTTAAAAGCATTGAAAAAGATATTTCAACATCTGAACCTAAGGTGCAGTAAAATACAGTGTCAAAAACGATATATACCACCACTTCTGAGTCATTACAACCACATTTACCACCAAAGAATATGACTCTAAAATGGAAAATCCACTCATGTGGGAAAGAAGTTTCCAGGAACAACTGCTTGGTTAGCACATTGACGTCTTCTTGTAGTAATGGTCAGTTTGACC